TTTCTTCATAATCGACTCCAGGTCGTTGTGAGAATCCTTGTACGACAAGGCGAGCCTTGTATCTTTCAACTTCATTTTGGTCATTCTTTTTTCGCACAAAAACCTATTTATGACCAACTGGTTTTACACCAGCAGGTGTTTGGACTACTAGTCCAAAGACCTCTCTTTTAGCAAGTGCGTTCAATTCTGATTGAATTGCCCCTTGCCATTTTGGCCAATCAGATCTTTGTTGACATTCTTCGACAGATCGTGGTTCACAGTCCTCACTATCTTGCATAATGTTAAGTGCAACATTATATGCAAAAATATTATCTACCACTATTTCAGATCGATTTAAATTAATCCATCACCAGTAGAATTTATTAAAAGTACCTCACTCACTTCAGTCTGAGGTTCATTGATTTCTTCAGGAATCTCAGAACTAATCAGATCTTGGGTCTCTTCAGGAGATCCCTTCATAATATCATTTTGATCATTTGTCCATTTTCTTTTTCTAGAATTTCGATCCTTAGAACCCAAAGGCCTACCACACTTCAGGCGTGCTTTACGTTCACTAGTTCTTATGCTAGTAGATGGTCCTGCTGGACATCAATTTGTATAGGCACATTCTCTGCAGGGATATGTAGCTTAGTTATCATTTTCAAATCAGTAAACGCGTCTGGCATTTGATTTGCTATATTTTGTAAATGGATGATCTTCTGGACCTCCTGATTACATATAGGGGTACGTGGATCAAAATGAGATAATGATGAAACTTTCCACACAATTTATCTTTTGATTTCCGTTTTCTCTTCCCCTAATTGTGGAAAATTTATTTCATCAAATCGATAATCTGCAAATCGAGCAGTAAATAAATCTCCCGTCAATGGTTCAAGATAGCGAATAATAGAGGGTGATTCAAACCCAATATATATTCCTAACCTTCTTTGGGGGCCCATCTTACTGCGTTGTGATGGTGCTACTGGCACATATACAGCACATCCAAAAATTCGTAGATAGGCAATATTTGGTTCATGACCAAAAACTAATTATGATGGAGAATATTTATTATAATGTGTTGGTCTGAGACAGATAAGTGATGTTGCGTGCAAG